CCCCCCCCCCCCCCCCCCCTCAATTTTTAACTGCAAGAACAACGACAACTGATTCCCCTAGATATGCATGGACGATGCAGATACCCGCTTTTCGAAGGTTCGACGCAGTTGACTGGGATACTACAACTCCGTGCGGTTGGTAAGCCAAGCGTAGGGCTGATAGAGGACTTGTCCATGGGCGGGACATTCTGGTAAGTCGGGTGCTGGCCCAGTCGATAGGATTCCATTCCCAAGAAGGGTCTTCCGTGTAACGCTACTCTACGCAATTCATTCAATATCAGATGCTGTCTTCGCCCAGAGGTGGATCAACTTACTTTGCTACCTTTCTAACTGGTGGTTATCCCGAGTGAATTCGGTAAAATAGCGATTCTTATCCCCTTTTTTCCTTCAAGCTTCTTCCTACGCCGGGTGGATCGACAAGATCAATGGCTGGCTACTGGTCTTCTTTGTTAAGTGAAGCCGCTGCTGGTGATGGGTCTTTCACGGAAGCAACTATTTTATGTTGTTCCGCCAGGCTGGAGATTCGGGCCAAGCGGTGGGAAATCGGGGCGAGTGACGTTGGGTTTCCAGATTCTCGAATTATCTAAGCGAGTGGGAAATATACGGACCCATATTTTGCTCCCTTCTTAAACTTGTTAGCTCCACTCGCTCAAGCGCGAAATAGAATCGACTTTGATGGCCCCCTTATTTTTACTATTATATTTAAAAAATATTTAATTTGCCCTCCTCTTAAATTATTTTTTGCACCCCCAAATTTTTTGTTTTTAAACGTCACTCACAAAGCCAACAATTGTAAGGTAACTTTTTTTTTTATGCATTTTTGTTATCTTTTACAAATTATGTCATGTCTTTTGTCCCCCCTCAACTAATTTTTTGGTTTCGCCCCTGCAACCTATGTTCGAGATCGACTTGATAACATGTTCTAGACTTCAGTCGTTGGAGTCGAACGTACACTATATTAGAAACTATACAAAGATAAATTCATAGATAATTTTTAAAATATAAAAATAAAAATAAAAGCTTATCATATATATTTTTTATTCCCATTTAATTCGCAGTTCAACGTAAGTCGAATACCACCAATTCCAAAGTGAAAGGTGCAGTGTGTTAGCTAAACAAGCAATGCTATTTTCTAACGTAGTTTTTTTTTTTTTTGG